TTAATAAAGGAAACAAGTATGTACGGAGTATTAGAGATAGGAAGAACATGATGAAGAATCAAGAATAAGGAAGTTTAGTTTATATAGATGAATATATAAATTGAGGGATCGTGTCGAAGCCTTCACCACCTTTTTTTTAATGATTTATTTTCAATAGTATTTTTTTTTTGTATATGAATATACCGTAGGCAACTCGGCCGTCGGTTGACGTAGCTTTAGTCCGAGCGGCCGGGACAAGCAGTAACGCTGTCTCATGAAACGTCCGGGCTCGTTTCATAAGAAATTAGATCGATACGACATGATTCATTTTGGTAGAGTAGAAGATTTTTTCGTCGTAGAAGTATACGATTGAGAAAAAAAATCATTTACTTTTTTTTTTTAAAATACAATAATAATATTAGTTTAGACTTAAGATTCCCCTCCCCCTCCCTTAGATAGGTTTTAGAATTAAGTTTTAGAATATGTTAGGATATTTAGTCGTCATGGTGCAAAGAAGTTATAGTGGGACTTTTGTTTTTGAAGAGTAGGTTGTTGCAACGTAAATTGTATAAATATAAGTCTGCAGACTTACATCAGGAGCCATATCGGATGTACGTTTTTGTTATGTGTATATGAGAATATTATTGTTTAAAGCTGGGCCCAGTTGTCCACGAGCGAGGACCATTGAGGTGTCCGAATCGATGGACGCGTACGGTTTCAATCGGGGAAACCGCCCTTAATCAAACCCGCAGCCGTCGAATTATTATGAGTATTATATTGAGTTATTTGGAAAAATTTTAAGAAGGTACCTTCAGTGAGACTGGAATGGCGCCATAGGTCGCACGTCGCCATTTCCCCGCGAAGGGGACAACCTTTGAGGGCCCTTGTGCCGAGCTGGGGAACTCTGGGTGTGTCCCGCTTACAAAGGTGATTGTAAGTGCCATTGTTTTTGGGTGGGCATAAGCGGTCGGTCTAGTGTTATTATGGTTGGGGCGCTGCGGGGGGAGCAAGAAGGATAACTAGATCTTAGCCCCCATCTGTGGTCTTGTGTTTGGGGGGCAATCACACCAGTAGAGGCTGAATTACTGTAAATGTCGCGTTCGTTAGTCATTTAGTTATTTACGGAATTGATTCAGTTTAAAGTAAAGGTAAATAAATTCTTCATTGTTTATCGTCACATTAGTTATTTTTTTTTTATGTTTTTCCACGCGTTACTCCATATTGTCCATATTATCGGGCTAATCGATTCTGGCGAACTAATTTAGATTTCGGGTTACGTTTATTTCATAATAACTAATACTACAACCAAGAAAACAGGGAACAGCACACACACATAGGTTAGGTTTGTTTTCAAGATAGCGTGTTCCGAAAAAAATTGTACAAGAAAACGTTCTCTTTTTAGTAACATCTTAATCTTACCACGTGTAATTTTTCTTTTTGTATTGTAGCATTATGTATAAATGGTAGTTTCTCTTTTGTGTCTAATTTAAATAACATCGCGATTTGAAGTTCAAATAGGTACAGTTTTTTTCAAACACGAGCTCTTGGAAAACAAAATTAATTAAGTTCAAGTTTCAAGTTGAAGGTCAAATTGACCCGTATATAAATTTAGTTTGATATTTGTTTTAAAGATTATGGTTGTCGATTTAGATTTTTTTTTATTGATTACTTGTTACGTTGTTTAATCAATTTTTTTTGTTTGTTGTGTATCAAACTTCTTTATTAATAAATGGGGGAATAGCTAATTAAGAATACAAGACGACATATATCTGACCGAAAGCACAATTACTGAAGGTTTATTGGCACACACCCACAACTACAGTCTACGTTCAAATTCACATTTAGTAAACCAGGCTCTGGACGTACACCCAACAATTATGGATACCGCTACGGGGACCTCAAACATCGTTGGAAAGTAGCAACAATTTTTAGAGCCGAGGGCGGCTCTGGTGTGACAGGGGGGCGTGTGACGATAATCATAATTATCGTCGTATTGATAATTATTGTCGCCTGATAGTCGTCAACCCCAGGGTACGGGACCATCCCTACCACTACCCCTAACTACCTATTGGTTCTTGGGGTCCATCAGAGAGACGCTCCGGAGATCCTGGCAATTAAGAAGTTAGAGCCAACGAAGACGTATCCCATAGGCGAACGCCTTGGGATACGTTAGTGTTAGTTGTGTGTGTGTTGTGCAACAAGACAGGTCCAGCTTAAAGGTCAGATAATGTAAATTATAAGCTGTAGCTATTCTCCCCTCATATCTCCATATAAGCATATATACCATGATATAAGAATAAGTGGTATTAGTTAGGGAACATGACCTTATGCAAGTACGGTCATGTTCCACAAATACATGCGGAATGTATTATTAATTATTTTAATAGATTTAGTTATAAAAGAAATCTTGGTTTCATTCGTATAGTAGCTACTAACCCCCACAGGTAATTACAGGTACTTTAGCGGGCGATTGGAGTGTTGAAGTAACCCCTTCGTAAGGGGATTGCAAGGCTAGAATATAATATTTGGCAGCCATTGCATACCCCTAGAAGGGGGCTTCAACCCCCTTCTCGTCACAATATTACACCTCGCGGTCGCCGTTATTCAAACAGTCATCACGCGGGAGATGCATGTTTATTGTTAAATCACCAACAGTCCTCTAATTGCTTTATATTTCGTTCCTCGCTCCATTAGCCGGCTTATTCAATTCCAAGGGGTGCTGAATAAAGGTGGCTTTACTGCACTAAATTGCGCAATTTGGTTGCAATTTATGTGACATAATAAAGAACGAGTGCACTCTAAGGTGGCCTTCGGTTAAGAAGTCATTTTGAATAGAAAATTGATTGCATAGGGCGATCGACGATTACAAAACGAATTTTGTTTATGTTATTTTTAACTTCCCGTAGGGTAATTTTTTGCATATATTTACGTTTTGAAGGTTTCTGAACATTTTGGCGTACCTCAAAAAAAAAATGAATGTGTGTGTGTGTTTTGTATGCCCGCATTTTTTCGTCCACGTTTTCGGGCGCACGGATCAACCGATTTGAATGGTTCAAAAAACATTCGATTCCTATTGATAGGAAAATGTGCTGATTAGTTTTTAGCAAAGGCAGGTCCAGCCGATACGGAGCAAAGAGTGCAGAAAATACAAATCGAGTTTTGGAAAGCACATAGTATCCGATTCGTATGATCCAAAAAACATTCAGTTTGTAATGATTGGGAGAAGTAGTGATTAGTTTTTGACAAAGACAGGTCCAGTCATTTCTAAGATACAGAGCTAAATGTACAAAAAAGAGCAGTTCTTGAAAGAACTATGCATCCGATTTCAATAATTCAAAAAGCTTTCTGTTTGTGTTAACAAAAGATTGCTTTTGAAAAAAAAATTATTTCGTTTTTTTTATTTCAATTTTTTTTTAAAAAAATGTTACAGTATTTATAATAATTCATTTGAAAACATTTGATATTCCTTGAACATTTCGTTACGGTATGGGAAGTTACAGCAATTTGCTTTAAGGCATAATGCTATACACCACTAGTTAATCATTTTTAAAGTTAACTAATTGGACATACAAAAGCGTGCTTGTTCTCGAAGCCTTTAATTATTACAAAATATTATTGTTTACACATATGGGGAAGATTATGTAACTACAAAATTTAACTAAAGCCTAGTCTTTGCTTTTGAACACCAATCAGATTTTGGTATTCCATAATAATGGGTTGCATCTCGAGGTCCCGGGTTCACATCGAACAGCCTATTGTCAAGCAGTAGTGACAACGATTTTCACTTGGAAATATAAATATCAATATATTTCCAAGTGAAAATATATCTTACCCAGCATTGCTCCAGCAATAAAAATATTCGCCCTATTTCAGAAATTGTAATAATAATTTGTCATTCACAGATGGAACATATAGAACTATTAGTTTCTGATTGCTGTTCAAAATAATTATAAAAAATAATCTTGTGGGCATGGCAGTGTGCCTTAATGCAAATTGCTGGAACTTTCTGAAACGTTTGTGTAAATATTTGTGGAACAAAAATAATCAATAATCAATTAAAAATTGACCAATCAATAAAAATAATTTAGTTAAATATTTTTAAATAGATCATTATAAACACTATAAATCTTATCTTTCATATTTTATTTGGCGACTACCTTATCGTACAAGATACTTAAGTATGTTTAGTACAGATCATTAGACATATGCATATCAAATTATCAGATAATTTATAGATATTTTGATAATAATAAGAAATTTTGTTTACATTTCTATGGATTCCGTGCCAATGTTTATACGTTAGTTTGCGACGCGGCGCTCACACGCTTCTATATTTCGTTTCTACGCAGCTAACTTATCGCGATTGCTTCGAAAAAAAGTTACAGAAGTAAAATTCCAAAATATTTCAAAGTAGGTGAAAAAAATCAAACTTTTCAAACAGGTCAATTTTGTTCAGAAATTTTAAAATTCTCAAAATAACTTTGCCAAAATCTAATCAGCGCTTCCTTACCAATAGAAATCGAATATTCTCTAAATAATTTAAATCGGTTGATCCGTGTTCTCAAAATAGGCAACGAAAAATTGTATCCGCACATACATACACACAGACACACATACATCGTTTTTTGTAATCAATGGAAAATGTTAAGAAACCTCTGAAACATAAATATATTTTCATTTTCAATTTTTTGTGATTACTGTAACTTACCCTACGAGAAGTTAAAAAATACTCCAAAGCAGTAGAATAAATCTGTAATAACATACATTACACTTAAGTTCATATTGATAAATTAATTAATAAATAATATAATAAACCATATGAATTAAATATTTAATATTTTAATATACAGAATATAAATTTAATCGTTTATAATATATGATAAATTGAAATATTTCAAATAAGTCCTAAAAAAATACTTATTGCTGAATACATTGAATATTGCTAGCAGATTGGAACTGCGCTTATTCTTCACATCAAACTCTTATTTTTCTTTATAATCTTTGCTTTCTGCAGGTGAAATTTAATAATGCCACCACTTTTGTCCACTACCATTAGCTGGTGGTATATTCTGGAACGGATGCCACTGATTTTGTATAGACTTAGGCATGGGCATAGAGATATCGATAGGACGATGAACAATATTGTACGAATCAGTATATGGAATCATATTTGCATGCCGAGGTGTTCCCACTGGAGCTGGAAAATATCCCAATTGCGCATTTGTTGAGCATGGAACATAAACGTCGTCTATTGGATTTGCAGCGTGTTGGCTTATATTGCTATTATCATTCACTGATCTTTGTCTAATATTATTTGTATAATGTACTCCAATTGAGCTATGGTCAAATGTTTCAGAATTTCTGGCACTGGCTGAGTTCACTTTTGCCCAGTCATAAGCCATGCCTATATTTTTTCCGTATTTCTGCTGTTGTGGTGTAGAATTTGGAATTTGTTGCTGATATATCATGGAATCCCACTTAGCAGATGACGTATTGTTTACATTGAAATAAGATCCAGATTCGACATTTTCTTTTGGTTCTGGGGGTACCCAAATGTCAAAAACATTTATTTTTAAAATGCTACTTAAAGGCAAATGAATTTTATGACTAAGATTCTTTTTATATTTTTCATATTCTAGATTATAATTTTCTTGAAGATTCATTTCATTATCCATTGATTTATTTGCTTTTTGACCCTCGTCGAAGGGATCAAAATCAAGATCATCATCTGATGTTGCGCGTAAATGCTGATTAGATTCAAAGCATGCTGAATGATTAGAAAATTGTTCGTATGATTGTGCTATGTTGTCAGATTCTCTTCGAGTATTAGACATAGAATTATAATATTCTATATTTTCTTGTGGATGAGAATGATCAAAATGATTAAAAGTTTGATTGTGATATGCACTACATCTATTGTTCCTTATAAATAATAGCTTTTGGGATATTTCTGGACTAGTACTATTAAAGTACATAGCTGCAGTTTTCTGATTTAATGTATCAAACACTTTTTTTTCATACTCTAGGTGTTTACCAAGAAGTAATTCTTCTTTTGTAAAACTGGCTTCGGGATCGAATTTATGAATATAGTAGCAGTCTTGTTTAAGGCATGGTAAATTCTTCACGAAATGGGTACAATACTTAGAAGTTCCCATTTGCGTCTTAATAAATCTCCCCTCTGCTAGAGTATAATTAACAGCTTGAATTGCTCTCAAACCATCATCATCATGACTATAAGTAATATATGCATTAGAGGTAAAATGCTTTGTCCCTGCATATGCAACATCGATAATAACAATATTTAAAAATTTTCCATATTTTCCGAAATACTTGTACCTCATCAATATATTTGGATATGCTAAGCTATTCGGGATACTAATAGCGTAAACTAAGTTTTTTCGTAACACTCGAAGATTAGCCAGATATTTTTGATTTTCAAGAATTCTTAAATTACGCTGTTGTTCTTGATGTCTTTTTGTGCCTTTTAGAACGGCTATTTCATCTTGTGATAAAGAAGTAAAATTTTCAGGGTTCTCAGGATAAGTTTTCCAACATTGTGGACATAATCCTTCACCATCTGTTCTAAGTGTGTGCCAACAAAATCGACATACCTGGTGGTTACATGCACACGGAAAGAATGCCAAATCGCACTCTTCTAGCACTTCCAGGCACAAAGGACATTCTTTAGCATTGTTTCCCATATTCATATTTGACATAATAGTAATATTATTTGAATTTAAAATAAAAAAACTCACTTAATACTATTACTGAAAATTATACACAATTGTTAAGATGATAACCTATAAAATTGTATGCGACCCACCTCGCAAGATTAACGCACAACGACTGAATTTTATGGAAAACATGACTTCTGCTATTTGCTATTTATGTAAATAGCAAACTAATAATATTATTAATAAACACGCTGATAATAATACGTTGGAAATAATTTATAAACAAATGCACAAAAGTGAAACAATTCTATTCAAGCTAGATTATTGTTCGATTGTTGTGAACGGATCAAATTAGTATAATGAACTAAATTGTTGATCAATTCATATTAATATTTATGCTGTTTTCGAAAGTTGTTACAAAACTAGTGGTGCATGGTATCGTCGCTTAAGGCAAGTTGCAGAAACTGCCTCTACTAAAAATTAATTTTTTTAAAGAAGCTTTAAAACTTATGAGAAAAATGGTTTTTCAGAAAAATTGAAGGTTTTTCTGTTATTTTCAAATGTTTTGAACAATTTGAACAATTTTTCAAAGAAATTGTGCTTTGTGGCTGATTTAGGGTCAAAATGTAGAAGCTCGTAGGGGCTGCGTCGTAGTCTAATGGATAAACATTAATGCGGGACCTGTATAAATGTAAACAAAATTAATACTAATTATTGAAATCTCTAAAAAATATCTGATAATTTAATATGCATGTATCTAATAATCATTTCTGACCGCCAAATGGTATTTTTATCAGATTTCACCACCAAATAGCATCTCCAAAACCGCTGGACCTTTCTTCTCAAAAATTTAACTAGTTCTTCGTTTTGTCAATATAAGTAAAATGTTTTTTGAATCATAGAAATCAGATACTCCATTTCTCTCAAGAACTAAACTACAATTTGTGGCACTTTTTACCCCGTATCTTCAAAACGGCTGGACCTGCATTGGCTAAAAACTAATCAGATCGTCTGCTTATCAATAAAAATGGTAAGTTTTTTGAATTACTATTTAAATCGGTTGAACCTTGTTCTCGAAATTGTCGACAAAAATTTGTATCCGCACACGCAAACGAACGCACACGCACACACACACATACATAAATTTTTTCGAAGGTATGCTCAAATGTTTCGACTTTGAAACGTAAAGATATATAAAAAAAATATTTTCAGTTTTTTACGGTTAAACAATTCTGTTCTATCCCATGTATCATATATTTTTATGAGAAGGCAATCTAGTAGTTACACTTCACTAGTAGTCACTTAGTTTGCAGAAATTTCCAGATTATTTTTATTTAAAAATATATTCGTGATCGATATTTTTAGATGAAAATGATTATCATCACACAAGTACGCAATAGAACATTAGGGTTTAAACTTTACCAGTTGCCTTATTTTCCATATTCTTAATAATATTCTGAAATAAAAAACAGCTTGTCGTTAACTCTTCTTCAGATTTTTTTCAATTACTGCATTAGAGTTTCATTTGATCTCAATTGTCCATAGAATTGTACATTATTTTGATTGCTAATTTAAAACTAATGGTGTGTATGGCAACGTGCCTTAAGGCAAATTGCTGGAACTTCCCGTACCGAAACGAAATGACCGAGGAATATTAAATGTTTTCAAATAGATTATTATAAATAAACACTGTAACATTGTATAATATTTATAAGAATTATACTGAATTGCAAAGTTGAAATTATTTATAGTATATTAGAACTTTAGTCTAAACTAAAAATCTCAATTATTTTTCATATACAAAAAAAAAATTCTTGGAAAAAAAATTCTTTTTGACAAAAAAAAATAGAAACAAAAAATTTTTTTTGCAAAAGCAATTATTTTATTGAAACAAGCAGAAAGTTTTTTGAATCATTCAAATCGAACGCTTAATTCTTTCAAAAACTGCCATTTTTTGCACATTTAGCTTTGTATCTCTGAAACCGCTAGACCTGCCTTTGCCAAAAACTAATCACCCCTTCTACCCGTTATTACAAATTGAATGTTTTTTCAATCATTCAAATCGGATGCTCCGATCTCTCAAAAACTCGATTTCTATTTTCTGCACTTTTGCTCCGTATCTCCGAAACGGCGGGACCTGCCTTTGCCAAAAACTAATCAGCACATCTCCCTATCAATAGGAATCGAATGTTTTTTGAACCATTCAAATCGGTTAATCCGTACGCCCGAAAATGTGAACGAAAAATTCACACACATCCATTTTTTCTGAGGTATGCCAAAAGGTTCAGAAACCTTCAAAACGTCGAGAAATGTAAAAAATTTCAATTTTGATTTTTGGACGATTAAAATAACTTACCCTACGGGAAGTTAATAATAAAAAAAATCTTTGGATTTTTTACAGCTTTTGATTAGGTTACTTAATCAGATAATAGTTTTAATAGTTTATAGTCGTTTATATTAATCAGTTGTTGATCAATGATCAATTTGTCATTATATTTAAAAAATATATAGCGAAAGTTTTTGATCCAGAACAATTAGTAAAGTCAGAATAATGGAATATAACGCGGACAAATAATGTATATTTATCAATATCATCATATTTTGTTGAGAAAGCATTAATAATGAATATTTGTGTTTATCATCATTTTAATAAACATTTATATCAATGCATACATATTTTAAAAATATTTTTAAACCATGCAGAAAGAGAGATTTTGCAAAATAATAAAATTCTATTATAAAAATTATTTTCTAGCTACCAATAGACATTTTTTCGAACGTTTAATATCTTTCAGAAATATTTCTCTAGTCTTGAAATTCCGTAACAGTATCTACTGTCGTATGTTCTTATGACATCTTTGCAAAAATATCTAAGGATTTGACAGGCACATTGCAACACATTTATATTGAAAGTGCAGCTCCTTCAGAAAACGCACAATGTACGAATATCCTACGATATTAAATTTCTAGCCTGTTCAAAGTTTGAACACCGAAGAACTGCTGGTATAAATATTACCTTAATATAAATAAAGCTGAACTGACGCCTGTCTTTTTCAACGGTTTGCACGCTTCGAGATTCTGCACAAGCAAACTTAATGAAATTTTTGATAACTTTGAATTTTTTATAAAAATGTAATTTTATTTGTAAATCAATAATGATTATGAAGTTATATGTATATTTATGCAAAAATTCTTGGAGGACACATCAAATAAAACGAGAATGTAGAGAATCTTTGACATAAGTTAGGTGTAGGTTCCACATTACCAAAAATTGTGACTATTGCAATCACTGATCACTCCACAATTTTTCACATTTTAGTATTACATACTATTTCAAATTATTCACATTATTATTATAAATGTATTTTGTAATGCTTGTTTTCCACTTATAGTTCAAATTCTTTACTGGTTACATAAAATTATATGTAGAGACGTATGGAAAAATAAAGATTCTCTAAAATGCATTTGCAAAAAAAAGAGTGCGCATAAGGTTCACACGCAACTGAAGTAAAACTTATTTGCTAATGTACAAGATGGCATTTAAGTAAAAATAAATACATCATATAACAATTTTGACTAATGTTTATTAGTAATATGATAACACTCATGATGCACACATTTATTACTGTCAACCATTATACACATTTATATAATGAAAAATTATAAATTTTAAATTATATACTTATAATAACATTAAAAATATGTATAATATATAAAAACAACTAGTTGGTTTGGTATTTAGCCTTGAGGCAAGTTAGATGAACTTCCCGATATATTTAAATAATCGACTTAATTAATAAAAAATAAATTAATTTATGAGTCATTAAAAGTATTCCGAGTGGATTTATTACACATAATTGAAAACGAACGAACTCGGAGTATTTTCTAAAAGCAAATTTTCAAAAATCAATAATTTTTATAATTGAACCAGTTTTCAGGACTTTAATGATTTATTATGTTCAAGACCAAGTATTCTATCATTATACCAAGTAAATAGTCTAATTTTAATTTTAACAAATGTCAAAAGAGCTACTCATTTTCTCAAACTTTGATGAATTTTTAAAATCAAACTATTTGTCCTAAGGCCGTAATATTTCAGTAAGTTCTATAAGACCATGGTATATATCGCTAAAAAAAAATCCATAAAAATCGGCTTAAATTTTTTTTTCAACGGTTAATTACAAGAAAACGGCTCGGTAGATTTTCACCTAAAACTGATCAGTATCATTCCCAACTAATATCTTTCGAACAGTTTTTGATTTTTTAAAATTGGTTCGGTAGGATGAGCTTAAATGTGGACGAAAAGTTTAACACTTTTTTTCAAATTACAAAGAAACGGCTTGGCTGATCGTCGCACAAAACTGACAAACGATAGTCTTCCCCGAAATACATCAAATGGCTTTTAAATTTCTGAAATCGGTTCAGGCGCTTTTGAGAAAACGTCGATCAAAAGTCTAATTTTGACAAATGTCAAAAAAACTATACCAATTTTTGCAAACTTTGACGAATTTTTAAAGCTAAACGAGTTGTCGTAGGGCCGTAATATTTTAGTATGACCTAGAAAACTATGGTATCTACCGTCAAAAAAAAATCATAAAAATCGTCGAAATTTTTTTTTTAAAAACGTTATTATAAGAAAACGGCCCTGCCAATCTTTACCAAAAACTAATCAGCACGATTCCCAACCAATATCTATCGAATGGTTTTTGAATTTTCAGAATCGATTCAGAATTGCGGGCTAAAACGTGGGCGAAAAAATTTTCACTTTTCTGCAATTTACAAAGAAACGGCCCGGCCGATCGCCGCACAAAACTCAAAGACGATAGTCCTCATCGAGATACATCAAATGGCTTTTAAATTTTTGAAATCGCTCCAGCCGTTTTGGAGAAAACGTCGATTTACGGGAAAAAATCTGTTCACACACACACACACACACACACACACATACTTTTTCCAAATTTGGTCTCATTCGATTCAGAATGGCTTGAAACGTCGAGAAAACATAAAGTTAGCCATTCGGATTTTTTGATGAG